GTATTTTTCACCTTTTTCACTTTCATCAGTAGCCCACCCCTTAGTGTATTTTTAAGGGTTTTTTTTACTTTTAATCCACGCCAGAAATTATTTATATTTAATAGCCAAAAAATTGTATAAAATTTATATAATTTTTATATATAACATACATAATGTATAGATATACAAAAAATATATATTTTTCTGCTATTATTTTGATAGCGGCTATACAGTATCATTTTACCTATTTTAATTTTCACATTCTTGCATGTCTTCCTCTCATATTAGAAAATTGAGATAAGGGGTTAGATAATTAAATAGATCTAATGCTTTAAGTATCACAATGACACAATATGTATCATTATATTGTGCCATCTAGCTAAATCTAAAATTACTACTTAACCAATCAAACATGGTCTGGTGGCCTTGTGTATATCACCAAAACTTGACCTACACCTAAATCCTAATCATGACGAAATTCACTTACAGAAAAAACGTTGTATTATTGGAAGAAGAATAATCAAAGAGACTGAATCAGAATGGGCATCTTATCTTCTCCTTGAAAAACAACTTTTGGTCCACAAAAGTGTACTATGCAAAGTTCCAATTCCTGACCTCGTTATCTTTTTTCTCATTGCTGTACTAACCGAGTCAATTTTAACACACCTCAACTTTTATTGAATATTTTTTACTTCCCGTCAGTACACAGGATAGTCTGGTGCATAAAACATGATGTATTCTTGTAAGGTTCGGAAGAGTCGCAACTCAAGGGGTATGATTTAGACACCCTACCCTTATACAAAGTGAAATCATATTGAGGGCCCCTTAAATTTATTTTATAAAATATTTACAATAACAACAAAATTTATTTTTAAAATAATAAATTAATCATGTAAGCCAAAAAAGCGAATTTAAAAAAAAAGGAAGAAGAATGCAAAAAATAAAGTGGTGGACTACCGGATGTTGAGGTCCAGAACTCAAAGTGAAAATTTTGAATTGGCTATCATCACAAACAAGAAAAAAAAAATGTACGTAACGTAATAGCTTAAGTTTTGAGCATTGACGATGTCAAAAATATTTACTCCTTCAGATCAGTTTAAACGATAATTGTAGTTCATTCTATTAAGTAGCGCTTATTGGTGAATATCTAAAATAAATTGTAAATAACCTAATATAATATGTCGAATTACACCAAAAGAAAACTGGTACATGAATATTTTTGTGTTCATGCAGTTTCAGAGAACAATATAAAAGAAATTTATTATGTTGTCGATATATATAACTTAATTCCTATATAAAAAGGATAAAATTAAAATTAAAGAGCGAAACAAATATACTAATTAATGAGGGAAGAAAACTATCATAATTTATAAATTTATTGGTATAAAATAACCTCAATCAAGTAATAAAAAAATATATTGTAACACTTTTCTTTATACTAATTATTTATATAAATTATATAGTATATAGTAACAATAATAATAATTTAAAATAAATTTGAGACCTTCAAACCTCATTGCCCAAAGCCATAGAGCCGCCCCTACCCCTTAGAACATATACCAACTAATTCTGCTGACAAAAACTTAAGTAGATTGAGAAAAAATCACCGAATTTTTTTGTTTCTACTAAAATTGACTCTTAGATTTTCACTCATTTTATTTGCGCTTACCTCATTCTGATTGGAAAATGCCCTTTTACACTATTCGAGAGGTGGCCACTTTCAGTGTATTGGTCCACAAATGTTTTTAATGGTGGAATTTATAGAAGGCAAAAATAAAAGAATCAAGGTATTCTCCATTTGTTACAACTGCAGCAGATTTGATTCTCTAGATAGTTTCTGAATCTAATATCATTTCCACTTTTCTTTAGAGGTTTGATCATATGATAATCCAATAATTTAGGCAAATCATCTGAGCTATAGAAAGAAAAGTTACCGTTACATACTATAGGATAAGTCTGATTATTAAGTCAAATATCAATTATTAGAACAATATTACTATCTTATAAGTTACTACAATTGCAATGACAAGAACAACAAACATCTGATCACAATTCTAAACTAGTTTAACAAATACAATATGAAAAAATTGTAATTTATTAGGTGTTATACCTGACTCGTAAAGAGCTTAATCTAAGGTAATATAACGTATAATGTTTGAAGATAAATTTTGTACTCAATTTATTTTTCAAACCCTTTTCGACGATATCACCTAATACTCCAAAATTTTCGGAATTCCTCGAGCTGATGTAATTCAAATCAAATCATTTGTTTTTTTAATGATAAAATTCCAAACCAATCGCTTTTGCGCAATGCATGTCTAGTCTTATTCTTGCGAAGTTTACTTTTCAAAGTTCTATAGATTTTGCAGTTCAAAGTTGACTATACAAAAGTTCTAGATCACAATTTATTATATTCTTGGTTTTAACAGGTTGTAGTCAATCTACTATTTTATCAAGTAATTGATTTATCATTTGAGACTTTGCAATCCTTCACACCTTCGTGGTCTTTCTGTATATCATTAAATTTTGATGGTAGTATAGCCGCCATCCCGCAAAGCTTCAACAACGGTACTATGCACAATTGTCTACTCATAATTGGGTTGGCTGGAAAAACAAACCTAACAATTAGACAATTTTTGTCTGATTAAGAAGAAAAATGGAGAGCTTGCCTCTAGCGCCTCTAGCGCTTTAGTTCAATGGTAAGATATGCGTACATCACAAGTTTTCTAGCGAAAAAATGATTTGTTACGCGTATGTCACAAGTTTCCTAGCGAAGAAATAATGTGTTACGCGTATGTCACAAGTTTCCTAGCGAAGAAATGATGTGTTACGCGTATGTCACAAGTTTCCTAGCGAAGAAATGATGTGTTACGCGTATGTCACAAGTTTCCTAGCAAAGAAAAACCTAATATTTAAGTGAAGGATAGCGAAACAAGCTTACTATCTGAATTTTGAAACATAAGCCAACTAGCTTTCGAAGATTTCTCGGATATCAAAAGAAAAAAAAGTTTGCTCCTTTATCTTTTTGCCTTACTATGATATCTTAATGGCATGTCCTGCATGCAGTGCTGCAACCAACAAGGATTATCTCTCCTTGAGCTTGCTAGAACTTCCATTTACTACCTAAAAATAATGTATCGGTGCACTAAACTCCCATTATGCGTAGGGTCCGGGAAAGGGCCGAACCACAAGGGTCTATTGTACGCAGCCTTACGAGACTGTTTCCACGGCTCGTACCCGTGACCTCCTGATCACATGGCAGCAAACCCCTTCATATGGTAAAACTATATATAACAAGAATACTAAAGCCTTGATTATAGGGGTGGCAAGTAGGTCGGGCCGGGCCCTTAACGGGCCAAGTGGACCGATCTCGTGGGCCGCGGTCCAAGTCCTAAATTAAACGGGTTAAATGGTCCCGAACTAAACGGTCTTTTTGTAGGAACCAGTCCGGGACCGGGCCCACGAGTTGATGGTCCCGGGCTAAACGGGTCGGGCCCGCGGGCTAAGTGGGCCCAACGGCTAAGTAGTGATTTTTTAAAAAAACAAATAGAAATTAGAGACAAAAAGATGTTAAAAAATATCTAAGGCAATGCCCTGTAAATTTATTATAGAATTATGATCTAATTTTTTTAATTCAAATTTAAAGACAAAAATATTGTAAAAAGATATTCAAAGCAATGCCTTGTAATTTTATTATAGCAATAAAAAATATGACAATATCTTTCTTAGTCTTCCTCCCCCCTATGGAATGAGCACAACAAAGTGCTAATATAAATGCACAAACGCAGGGTCAGAAGAAAAACTATATGGTAAGCACATACCACAAGTTTTACACTTGGCCTTATTTTGTGAAACTAGTTGAGTAAAAAATGGCCAAACAGAAGATGTTTCCTGCCGTTTGGTAGGTGGTCTAGAAAAAGTAGGGGCAGTAACAGGAGTATCATATGGGTCATCATTTGGATTAGCAGTATTATCACTAGTTGGGTTAACATCAGGAGTAGGACTAGTGGGTATATCATCATCCGGTTGAGTTTCATCAAGATCAATTTCCTCATCATTATTTTCATCAATAGTATTATAATTATTAGAATAAAGAGCATTCATTAATTCATGGTCTAAATGTTCACCGGGTGCAATATTATGACAAAATTCAATCTCGGTAAATTGTAATAAACTATTATCGGTATCAAAAATAGCAGGTGTAGGATGGGTATAGGATTTGGTTCGGGGAACCGGGGGCAGGGGAGGAGGAACAGCAATACCACTAGATTCGCCAGTCTTGGATTTTCCCTTATTCTTATTTTTACCAAAAATATTTCTTAAGGAAGACATCTTAATTAATCAAGTAATAGCAAATAAATAAAACAAACAAAACTATAATAATAGACTTCAGAGTTGGAACGAGTTTACCGAATTGACGAACAACTTGTTGAAATTTGATTATCGTTGAAGACTTGAAAACTTCAATTCACCAACTTTACAAATTTTTCACAAATTGTAACAACCTCAATATTTTTTGACTATTTTTTGGAATAAAATAAGCAATAGTAACAAGTATAGAAGAAAATTAGAGAGAGATTGATATTGATTTTGTAAGAAAATAAAAAAAATGAGGGGGTATTTATAGTTGAAAATAGGGAAAAAGTGTAATTATAAAAAGTTTGGGATTAAAACTAAGTTTGGAGGGATTAAATGGCTAGTTTTTAGATAGCCAACGGCTATTTTTTAAAGCCCAATAGCTCTTTTTTTAAATAGCCAAACGGCTATTTTTAAAAAACAAATATTCGTTGGGCCCGTTTGGCTCGCCAAGGGACCGGTCCGGTC